CAATATCCAGAATACAGTTTCTGTGGTTAGGGCAAGAACTACTCAGCTAGTCACACTGCAATATCAAATATTGAAAAGCATAAAACTAAGATAACAGGAAAGCTTTGTTCACAAGAAATGTTACCTAGCTCCATCGCATCATGCTAATATGGATAATATTAGCGTATCAGTACGTCAAATACCATTAATCTTAACTTCTAAACATTTTAAAATAAATATTCTTGCTTACATAGAGATTTTAACAGCACAATATGAAGCTTTTTAATACACAGTTATTAATTCTGTAACAGCAGACTGTATCTGGGGGAATCCAAAATGGCTGACTAGGGAAAAGATGTACTGCTTCAGACAAGGCTAAAATGGCAGAAAAAAAAAGCAAAGTGCATTTTCAGGGGGACAGCTGAAGAGAAGTTTGCAGTGGAAATTGTAGAGAAGGAAGAGGTACCTCATGGAGCAGTGTGGAAGGCCCAGACCTGCAACAACTAATGTGGGAACCAAATACAACACCTGCAGTCCAGAACTGGAGGTTATGTCAGTTTTGGAGAGCAAGGTGAGAGCAGACTGTGGCAGCCCATGCCACTGATGATATTGCCAGGAGAGCCTTGCAGACCACACTGTCTTGAGTCCAGCCTGGAGTTCTAATGAGAGGTAGAGCATCTGCCTACTCCAGCAAAAGAAAAGAATGTTTCTTTCTCCCATCCCCCTAGAAGGGCACATGGCAACTGGTGGGGAGAAAGTGCCATTTTGACACCAGTAGTGGTTGCGGTGGCTCATGTGGGCTTGTGTGATCAGAGGATTAAACCAGTGGGAAAAACTGGTGTTCCCCACTGACTTTGAGTCTAGCTGGGAGGGTTGAGAAGGGACTGAGCCGCCACGTAGGACTGTGAGGTACCCCAATGCCCTCAACATATCACAGGCTCTAGGGCTCAAATGGTTGAGGCAGAGCACCCACAGGCAGCTGGCTTTGGGAACATCTTTGCTCTCTCTGTGGATGGGACAGGCCAGTGGGACAGTGAGGATCCTCAGGTGACGGTGGGAGCCTTGCATGTTATGACTGTGGGAACACTGTAACTGCAAAAGGCACAGGGTGTAGCTGGTCTCTGGGCAATGACCGTGTGAGGTGCCAGAGGCCCAGAGCTCCCTATTGCCTAGAGTGAGTCATTGCAGAGCGTCTGTGCTCACCCTGAGGGCTGCACAAATCCTTCGTGTGGTTCATGTGGCAGCACTGGTGACTACTGCACCCACTGTGGGCTAACCCCAGGCACTGATCACCTTAGAAGAGAGGTGAAGGTGTGAATAAACCAACAGATATGATCATGCCCTCTCCCTTGCTGAGTTTTTCAAGGTTTGCAAAGAGAGAATGGATTAGAAGGCCTTTTTAGTGAAGTAATTACAGAAAACTTCCCCAATTTGGAGAAAGAAAGGGACATCCAAGTACAAGAAGCACATAGCATTCCTAACAGACATAACCAGAAAAGATCTTCACCATGACACAATGTAGTCAAACTTTCAAAACTAAAACATAAAGAAAAGATTTTAAAATGTGCATGAGAGAAACACCAAACTGCCTTCAGAGGATCTCCAATTAGATTCACAGCTTTCTCATCAGAAACCCTATAGGCTAGCAAAGAATGGATTGATATAGTCCAAGTCTTAAGGGGAAAAGAATTGTCAACTCAGAATACTGTACCCTGCAAAGCACTCATTTGGGAATGAGAGGAAATAAAGACCTTCCATGACAAACAGAAATTCAAAGAATCTGTTTCCATTAGTTCTACCTTAAAAATGATGCTTAAGGATGTGCTACACACAGAAACACAGGAAGATATTCATCATTATGAAAGAATGTGAAGGTAGACTATCTCCCAGTAAAAGTAAAAAGGAAATCCAAAGCAAACAATAGAATATTTATGGGAAAATGGCAGGGCCAAGTCATTATCTATTAACAGTTATCTTGAATGTAAATAGCCTAAATTCTCCAATTAAAAGACATGGACTGGTTGAATGGATTAAAAAACAAGACCCTTCTATTTGCTGCCTGTAATAAACATATCTCACCAACAAAGATACATGCAAGCCTAAAAGTGAAATATGAAAAAAGTTACTTCATGGTAACTCAAAGTGAAAATGAGTGGGTGTAGCCATTCTAATATCAGACAAAATAGATTAAAAAAGAAGGGTATTACATAATGATTAAAGGATTAATTCAACAGGAAGATGTGACTATAACAAATATATATGCAACCAATTATAGGGCACATAGCTATTTAAAAGAAATGTTAATGGATCTAAAGGGAGACATAGACTCAAATACAATAGTAACACCCCATGTTCATCAATGGACAGACCAACTAGACGGGAAATCAACAAAGAAACAACAGAGCTAATCTACACTATTGACCAAATGGATGTAACTGATATCTATAGAACTTTTCACCTGACAGTCGCAGAATACACATTCTTCTCATCAGTGCATGGAACTTTATCTAGGATAGACTATATGCTAGGCCATAAAGCAAGTTTCAGCAAATTCAAAAAAACTGAAGTCATTCCATGCATCTTCTGTGACCACAATGGAACATAACAACTCAAGAATCTCTAGAAAATATGCAAACACATGAATACCGATCAACATACTCCAGAATTAACAGTGAGTCACAGGAAATCAAAAGAGACATAAAAAAAATCCTGGAAATAAAGATCACAATACAATATATCAAAAATTATGAGTTACAACAAAAAGCAGTGTTAACAGGGAAGTTTAGAACAACCAGTGCCGACATTAACAAATTTGAAAGACATCTAATATCAATGCACCTCAAGGACCTAGAAAAACAACAAACCAAATCCCAAATTACTAGGAGGAAAGAAATAATTAGAAAATAAGCAAAATTGAATCAAAAAATTACAAAAGACCAGTAAAATGAAGAGCTGTGTTATTTAAAAAAATAACAAAACTGATATACCATTAGCCCACCCCCCCAAAAAAAAAAGGGAGGGGTGAAGACCCAAATTCATAACATTAGAGACAAAAAAGGAAATCTAACAACAGATACCACAGAAATAAAAAGAATCATCAGGAATTACTACAAACAGTCATATGTTGACAAATTGGAAAATCTCAAAGAACCAGATTCCTTGACACATACATCTACCAAAATTGTGTCATGAAGACACAGAAAACCTAAACAGACCAATAACCAAGATGGAAATTGAATCAGTAATAAAGACCCTCCCCACAAAGAAAAGCCAGAATTTTAACTAATTCTAATTCTTATCAAGCTATTTAAAACAATTGAAATGCTTCCAACTTTTCCACATTCAATAGGATGTTGGCTGTGGGTTTTTCATAGATTGCTTTGATTGTATTGAGGAATGTTCCTTCCAAACCCAGTTTGCTTAGAGTTTTCATCATGAACGGGTGTTGTATTTTATCAAATGCTTTCATCCTATTGAATGGGGAAAAGTTGGAAGCATTTCCACTGAGATCTGGTACCAGACAGGGATGTCCACTCTCACCACTGCTATTCAATATAGTTCTGGAGGTTCTAGCCAGAGCTATTAGGCACGAAAAAGAAATTAAAGGGATACAAATTGGGAAGGAAGAACTCAAACTATCCCTCTTTGCAGATGACATGATTCTTTATTTAGGGGACCCAAAGAACTCTACTAAGAGACTATTTAGTTTGGCAAAGTAGCAGGGTATAAAATCAATGCACAAAAATCAACAGCCTTTGTATACACAGACAATGCCATGGCTGAGGAAGAACTTCTAAGATCAATCCCACTCACAATAGCTACAAAAACAATCAAATACCTTGGAATAAACTTAACCAAGGACGTTAAAGATCTCTACGATGAAAATTACAAAACCTTAAAGAAAGAAATAGAAGAGGATACCAAGAAATGGAAAAATCTTCCATGCTCATGGATTGGAAGAATCAATATTATCAAAATGTCCATTCTCCCAAAAGCAATTTATAGATTCAATGCAATACCAATCAAGATACCGAAGACCTTCTTCTCAGATCTGGAAAAATTGGTGCTGAAATTTATATGGAGGCACAAGAGACCTCGAATAGCTAAAGCAATCTTGTACAACAAAAACAAAGCCGGAGGCATCACAATACCAGATTTCAGGACATACTACAGGGCAGTTGTAATCAAAACAGCATGGTACTGGTACAGAAACAGATGGATAGACCAATGGAACAGAATTGAAACACCAGAAATCAACCCAAACATCTATAGCCAACTTATATTTGATCAAGGATCTAAAACTAATTCCTGGAGCAAGGACAGTCTATTCAATAAATGGTGCTGGGAAAATTGGATTTCCACGTGCAGAATCATGAAGCAAGACCCCTACCTTACACCTTACACAAAAATCCACTCAACATGGATTAAAGACCTAAATCTACGACCTGACACCATCAAGTTATTAGAGAACATTGGAGAAACCCTTCAAGATATTAGCACAGGCAAAGAATTTCTGGAAAAGACCCAGGAGGCACAGGCAGTCAAAACCAAAATCAACTATTGGGATTGCATCAAATTGAGAAGTTTCTGTACTGCAAAAGAAACAGTCAGGAGAGTGAAGAGACAACCGACAGAATGGGAAAAAATATTTGCAAACTATGCAACAGATAAAGGGTTAATAACCAGAATCTACAAAGAGATCAAGAAACTCCACAAAAACAAAACCAACAACCCACTTAAGAGATGGGCCAAGGACCTCAATAGACATTTTTCAAAAGAGGAAATCCAAATGGCCAACAGGCACATGAAAAAAATGTTCAAGGTCATTAGCAATCAGGGAAATGCAAATCAAAACCACAATGAGGTTTCACCTCACCCCGGTTAGAATGGCTCACATACAGAAATCTACCAACAACAGATGCTGGCGAGGATGTGGGGAAAAAGGGACACTAACCCACTGTTGGTGGGAATGCAAACTGGTCAAGCCACTATGGAAGTCAGTCTGGAGATTCCTCAGAAACCTGAAGATAACCCTACCGTTCGACCCAGCCATCCCACTCCTTGGAATTTACCCAAAGGAATTTAAATTGGCAAACAAAAAAGCGGTCTGCAGCCTAATGTTTATTGCAGCTCAATTCACAATAGCTAAGACCTGGAACCAACCTAAATGCCCATCAACGGTAGACTGGATAAAGAAATTATGGGATATGTACTCTTTAGAATACTATACCGCAGTAAGAAACAACAAAATCCAGTCATTTGCAACAAAATGGAGGAATCTGGAACACATCATGCTGAGTGAAATAAGCCAGTCCCAAAGGGACAAATACCATAATGTTCTCCCTGATTGGTGACAACTGACTGAACACCAAAAAGGAAACCTGTTGAAGTGAAATGGACACTATGGGAAACGGTGACTTGATCAGCATAGCCCTGACTGTTAATGAACAACTTATACATATCCCTCTTAGTTTTTTTGTCTGGTTCTACTTATATGATTGGTTTAATTCCTGTAAATAATACACAGTTATTCTTTTTTTTTTTTTTGACAGGCAGAGTGTGACAGTGAGAGAGAGAGACAGAGAGAAAGGTCTTCCTTTTGCGTTGGTTCACCCTCAATGGGCGCCACGGCCGGCGCGCTGCGGCCCGCGCACCGCGCTGATCCGATGGCAGGAGCCAGGAGCCAGGTGCAATTACCTGTTCTCCCATGGGGTGCAGGCCCAAGCACTTGGTCCATCCTCCACTGCACTCCTTGATCTACAGCAGAGGCTGCATGCAAGGGCAACCGGGACAGAATCCGGCGCCCCGACTGGGACTAGAACCCGGTGTGCCGGCGCCGGGTTAGCCTAGTGAGCTGCGGCGCCGGCCAATACACAGTTATTCTTAAGTGTTGAAAATTAACTGAAATGTGATCCCTGTTAAACCTAAGAGTGGGGATAAGAGAGGGAAGAGATGTATAATTTGGGACATGCTCAAGCTGACTTGCCCCAATTGGTAGAGTTAGAAACATACCAAGGGATTCCAATTCAATCCCATCAAGGTGGCATGTACCAATGCCATCTCACTATTCCAAGTGATCAATTTCAGTTCACAAATGATCATAATGAAAGGACTAAGAGTTAAAGGGAGCACATAAACAAGTCTAGTACCTGCTAACACTAACCGATAGAATAAATAAAGGGGAGAGTGATCCAACATGGGAAGTGAGATACTCAGCAGACTCATAGAATGGCAGATGCCCTAAATAGCACTCTGGCCTCAGAATCAGCCCTAAAGGCATTCCGATCTGGCTGAAAAGCCCATGAGAGTATTTCAGGCATGGAAAGCCAAGACACTCTGGCAAAAGATCTCTGTGAGTGAGATCCCAGTGGAAAGAACAGGTCTTCAAAGAAGGAGGTACCTTTCTCTGAAGGGAGGAGAGAACCTCCACTTTGACTATGACCTTGTCTAAACAAGATAAGAGTCGGAGAACTCAAGGGGCTTCCATAGCCTTGGAAACTCATGACTGGAGCATAGGGAGACTACTGATGCCATAGACAGGAGTGTCAATTGGTAAAGTCAACAACAGGAGTCACTGTGCACTTACTCCTCATGTAGGATCTCTGTCCTTAATGTGCTGTGCATTGAGATTTATGCTATCACGAGTACTCAAACAATATATTTCACTTTGTGTTTCTATGGGGTGCAAACTGTTGAAATCTTTACTTAATGCATACTAAACTGATCCTCTGTAAAAAAAAAAAAAAAAAAAGAAAAAAGAAATTATCAACTCCCAACTTGACTCTCACTGGGATTAAACATGACAATAGGTCTGATCTGATTTCATCATCATTTAAAAAAAATCATCTATTATTTTTCACTTTATGTTTCTGGGTGGGAGCAAACTGTTGAAATCCTTACTTAATGTATACTAAGCTGATCTTCTGTATATTAAGATAATCGAAAATGAATCTTGATGTGAATGGAAGGGGAGAGGGAGTGGGAAAGGGGAGGGTTGTGGGTGGGAGGGACGGTATGGGGGGGAAGCCATTGTAATCCATAAATCGTACTTTGGAAATTTATATTCATTAAATAAAAGTTAAAAAAAAATTAAAAAAAAACAATTGAAATGGAGGGAATCCTCCCATACTCCTTCTATGAAGCCAGCATCATCTTAACTGCAAAACCAAAAAAACAAAGAAAGAGAGCTATATATCAATATCACTGATGAACACAGATGCAAAAATGCTCAATAAAACACTTGCTAATCAAATGCAACAACACACCAGAAAGATCATTATCTGAACCAAGTAAGATTTATCTTTAATATTCAGGGATGATTCAAAATAAGCCAATCAATAACTGTGATACATCACATTAACAAACTGAAGAACAGAAATCATATGATAACCTGAAGAGATGCAGAGAAAGAATTTGATAATATACAACATCCTTTCATGATAAAAACCTTAAGCAACCTCGGTATCTATGAAAAATTCCTCAACACAATCAAGGCAATTTATGACCAACCCACAGCCAGCACCTTATCGAATGGGGAAAAGTTGGAAGCATTCCCTCTAGGATCCAGAACCAGACAAAGATGCCCATATTCACCATTGCTATTCAATATAGTCCTATAAGTTTTAGCCTAAGCCATTAGGCAAGAAGAGAAATCAAAGGGATAAAATTGGAAGAGGAAGTAAAATTATCCCAATTTGTAGATGACATGATTCAAAAGACTCCACTAAGAGACTATCGGAATACATAAAAGATTTTGGTAAAGTGACAGGATATAAAATTAATACACAAAAATCAATAGCCTTTGTATAAACAGACAATGACATGTTTAAAAAGAACTTCAAAGATCAATCACATTCATAATAGCTACAAAAAATGAAATTCCTTGGAATAAATTTAACCAAGGATATCAAAGATTTCTACACTGAAATCTATAAAACATTAAAGAAACTGAAGACAAAAAATGGAAAAATCTTCATATTTGTGCATAGGAAGAATTATTATCAAATTATCCATACTATCCAAAGCAATTTATAGATTCCGTATAATCCCAATAAAAATATTAATGACATTCTCCTCAGATCTAGAAAAAAGGATGCTAAAATTGAGATGGAAACACAAGAGACCCTGAACAGTTAAGCAACCTTAAACAAAGCCAGAGGTATCATAATACTAGATTTCAAGATATATCCTGGGGGTATAATCAAAACAGGCTGGTACTAGCACAAAAACAGACTTGTAGATTAATGGAATAGAAGAGAAACTCTGAAAATCAATCCACACATCTCCAACCAACGTATCTTTGACAAAAGGACTAAAATCAATCCCTGCAGCAAAGATAGTCTCTTCAACAAATGGTGCTGGGAAAACTGGATCTCCACATGGAGAAGCATGAAGCCAAGACCCCTACCTCACACCTTACACAAAAATCCACTAAAAATGGATGAAGGACCTAAATCTATGACCTGTTACCCTCAAATTACTAGAGAATATTGGAGAGACTCTGCAAGAAATTGGGATAAGTAAAGACTTCTTTGAAAAGACCCCAGAAACATAGGCAATCGAAGCCAGAATAGACATATGGGATTACACCAAGCTGAAACACTTCTGCACTGCAAAAGAAAACACCAAAAGAATGGGAGAAAATATTTGGGAACCACACAACTGATAAAGGATTAATATCCAGAATCTATAAAGAGCTCAAGAAACTCAACAACAACAAACAAACAACCCAGTTAAGAATTGGGCAGGGATTTGAACAGACATTTTTCAGAAGAAGAAATCAAATGGCTAAAAGAAACAGGAAAAAATGCTCTTTATCACTAACCATCAGGAAAATGCGAAACAGAACAACAATGTGGTTTCTCCTCACTCCAGTTAGAGTGGCTCTCATACAGAAATCAACAAACAATAAATGCTGGTGAGGATGTGTGGTAAAGGTATCCTAATCCACTGCCAGAGGGAATGTAAAATAGTACAGCCACTGTGCAAGGAAGTACGGAGAGACCTCAGAAAGCTGAAAATAGAGATACCATATGACTGAGCAATCCCACCCTGGGAATTTATCCCAGGGAAACACAATCAGCATATGAATGAGTTATTTGTACCCCCATATTTACTGCAGCTCAATTCACAATAGTTAACATGGAATCAACCCATATGCCCACCAACTGATGACTGGATAAATAAATTATGGTATATATAAACTATGGAACACTATTCAGCCATATAAACAAATGAATTCCTGTCTTTTGCAACTAAATGGATATAACTGGAAACCATTATGCTTAGTGAAATAAGCCAGTCCCAAAAAGACAACTACCATGTATTTTCTGTTTGTAGTATTTAACAGAGTACCAAAAATGGTAATGTATAGTAGTAAAATCGATATTTTGATATTCAATGATTGTTTAAAGCCCTGGTTTCTTCTGTTGAGGAACAGTGTGTTTTCTTCTATGTGCTGAACTCTTTACTTAGTGTAGGGTTAATCTATTAGTATGAAATAACCTCAAAGCAGATCGTTGTAAAAATAAGACAGGAAGGAGGAGGAAGGGTGGGAGCACAGGTAGGCAGGAAGGTAGGGTGGAAAGTATCTCTATGTTCATAAATCTGTACATATGAATTATATGGAATATGTTTACCTTAAAAAATGAAGAAAAAATTAAAATTCTGTAATAGAATTTTACACTGTGGCGCTGGCCTGAAGTGCCAGCATCCCATATGGGCACCGGTTCAAGACCCAGCTGCTCTACTTCCAATCCAGCTCTCTGCTGTGGCCTGGGAAAGCAGTAAAAGATGGCCCAAGTCCTTGGGCACCTGCATCCTAGAAGAGGCTCCCAGCTCCTGGCTTCAGATCGGCGCAGCTCCGGCCACTGCGGCCAATTGGGGAGTGAACCATCAGATTTAAGACCTCTCTCTCTCTTGCTCTGCCTCTCCTCTGTGTAACTCTTTCAAATAAACAAATCTTTGAAAAAAAAAAAAAAAAAACTATTTTTTGTGATAAAAGATTGATTACGTGACCTAACATCACAAAATAGTACGTTTAGTATGACAGTAATGTTGCTAGCATCATATTGATTTTGATGAAATAGTCCTAATAAGTACTTATTAGTCCTTGGAGGGATTCAGGCAAACATTCAGGGCCTGACAAATTTAGAAAGTAGAAAAATAGTAATTATTTGTTCTAATAAACCTAAAAAACTTTATTCTTTTTAAAAAAGATGATAAACAGCCAATTTACAAGTGCCTTTTCAGAATAAAGTATCATGAAAAGATTATAGCTATTTTTAAAATAATGCTACCATTCTTCCACTTATCAAATATAATTAAATGCAGAAAAAGTGCTACCATATAAATTGCTTTAATTTATTTTTATAAATGAAGAGGTTTTTTTTCTTCTGTGAACACTTACCATCCACTCAGAAATAATAACATCCACTTTTTCTACTGGAAGACGAACTTCTTCAATCTTTCCTTTAATTAGTGTAATAGTATCTTCAAGTTTGTTTAGTCTGAAAATTATCATAATGAACTGGATTAGTAAATGAAACAGATTCTGAAAGGCAGTCAAATTACATAATTTCTTGCCAATGGTTCATATTGTTTTGTGGAACAAAAAAAGTATCTTCAAAGTTTATTTTCTGGTCATCATAATTATTTTTCAGACACCAAAAAGTGTTTCTGGTTGATACAGCAATACACTGAAGCAACATTTCAAACTGCTTCCTGAAAAGAAATCCTAATTTTATTAAGAATACATGTCAATAAAGTTAGTATTTTTTTTTAAAAAAGGAGGTTACAGACAGATCAAAAACATAACAATTTTTTTAAGTTTTTTTAAATTAATTTGAAAGGCAGAGTGAGAGAGATGAAGAGATGGGTGTTGGGGGGAGGAGAATGAGGGGGAGAGAGAGAAAAAAACAGAGAAAAATCCTCCATCTGTTGGTTTACTCCCCAAATGGCTGCAACAGGGCCAGGCTGAGCAGGGGCCCAAACACTTGAGCATTGTACTGTTTTCCCTGGGAGATGGAATGAAAGCAGAGCAGCCAGGATTCAAATCAGTGCTCCAATATGGAATGCTGGCATCACAGGTGGCAGGTTAAACAACTGCACCAGAATGCTGACCCCAATAAATGTATGGTTTAAAAAGAAGATTTTTTTAAGCTCTGAGCTCATGTGTAAAAATAGGTAAGCCCTGCCCTATTGACTTCATAGGCTATTTCACTATGAATATCAAATATTTTTGAAATGTAATATTCAAATACCTATTGATAGAGTATTTGAAAAAACTAGCTACTAGCCTGGAGTTTCTTCAGGGTCTCCCACATGAGGCAGGGGCTCAAGCACTTGGGCAATCTTCAGCTACTTTGCCAGGCGCATTAGCAGGGAGCTGGATTAGAAGTGGAGAAGCCGGGTCTCCAACTGGTGTAGCAGGAGGAGGCTTAACCTGCTATGCCACAACGCTGACCCCCAACAATCTGTCCTTTAACTGAATGTCTGGATCAGACACTGGAAAATTAAGGCCTTTCAGATTATGATCCAGTTTTGTACAGCCACAAACGAAGGAGATATTTAAGAGTAGTAGTTGCAGCAACAGAGATAATCCTCAAGGCTTAAAATATTTCCTATCCCACCATTTACAGAAAAAATACACCATGTCATGCTTTCGACCACTGCGGAAGCACAGCAAAGAAAATTAAAGATGCAGTTGGAAGACTTAATCTAGAGTTAAATGGGTACCAGAAAAAGTGGAAACATTTGAGGAGCTGAGGGAATTTTCTAGAACTGATAAAAATTAATACAGACTAAAAAAATCTAATGAATCTCAAAGAAAAAAAAAAAACCTCAGACATTACAGTGAAACTTGAGGAAATCAAAGACAAAGAGAAAAGTCTTCAACAAAGACAAATTTCCTAAAATGGAGTAAGGATTGTTCTAACAGGTCTCTTACCAACATCAATAATATAAAGCCAGAAGACAATGGAATGATACTAATGAGGAATTAGAAAAAGATTTGGTGATGTTATTCTTAAATTGCCAAGTTACAAATATTTTAGACTTGTAGGTCTTATGGTCTCTTTTGCAACTATCCAACTACGTTCTGTAAAAGCAGCAAGAAACAATATGTGAGCAATAGGGCATGGCAGTGGCCCAGCTTTATTTTACAAGAACAGTGTCTGGCTTACAGGCTTAAGTTTACTGACTCCATACTACAGCAGTTTCACTAGCAACTTAAAAATTCTATATACAGAGAAAAATAACTATAAGAAAAAAGGCAAAATACCTTATCTGACAAAAAAAAAATTGATTAAATCCAAAATACAGGCATTCTTTGGCCAGAGAAAGGAGGGTAGAAAAGAAACTATCAATTCCCAACTTGACTCTCACTGGGATTAAACATGACAATAGGTCTGATCTGATTTCATCATCATTTAAAAAAAAATCATCTATTATTTTTCACTTTATGTTTCTGTGTGGGAACAAACTGTTGAAATCCTTACTTAAGGTATACTAAGCTGATCTTCTGTATACTAAGATAATCGAAAATGAATCTTGATGTGAATGGAAGGGGAGAGGGAGTGGGAAAGGGGAGGGTGGTGGGTGGGAGGGACGGTATGGGGGGGAAAGCCATTGTAACCCATGAGACGTACTTTGGAAATTTATATTCATTAAATAAAAGAAAAAGATAAAAAAAAAAAAAAAAAAAAAACAAAAACTAGGGGGGCCAGCACGGCAGCGTAGTGGATGGGGCCGCTGCCTGCAGTGCTGGCATCCCACTGGGCACTGATTCTGGTCCTGGTTGCTCCACTTCTGATCCAGCTCTCTGCTGTGGCCTGGAAAAGCAGTGAAGGATGGCCCAGGTCCTTAGGCCTCTGCACCGGCATGGAGGACCTGGGAGAGGCTCCTGGCTCTGGACTGGCACAGCTCTGGCTGTTGTGGCCAGTTGGGGAGTGAACCAGCGGATGGAGGATCTCTCTCTTCTCTCTCTCTCTGCGTAACACTTTCAGATAAATAAATCTTAAAAACTAGGAAAAGGTTCTAGCCTTGCAATGGCTGCCTACCCACCCTTCATATAAAGTAGCAAGATAGAAACTGCCTGACAGACTGGTAGAGACCAACAGGCAGAGGGGAAAAGAGGGAAAATTCCCATTCTCTGGCTGTTAGCAGTGTTTCTAACAAACACCTGTCCTTTCACAGAGGAGACCGTGGTAGGAGAAAAAGCTCTAAGAACACCTTTCTTTTCTTCTCACTGAAAGGCCTTCTTATGCTTCTATGGCTGCCCGGAAAGATGAAGTACTCACCAGGAAAGTAATGAACTTGAAGCTGTGAGTTCCTACAAAGATGACACAGGTAGCTGGAGAACAAGTTTGTGGGCCCAGATTCTGAGTGTATTCAGTGAAAGAAATCAGATGTATATTACAGAGAAATACCAGAAAAGCCTGGGGAAGCACTACAGGCACCGATTCTCAGGAATACCAATCAAGGAGCTATAGCACTCATTTTACATTACCTAACTAGAAGGGCTTACTCGGGTTGATGATCAATACCTAAGTGGTTGTGAATGGATGCTTGCAAGTAGCATGACAATTTATCTGCTACTGAGAGTAAAAATGGGTTGCAGGACACTTACCCCAATAGCAGTAACTGCCCCATTCTCTCCCATATCTATAAATAAAATCCTGCTGAAGCAACAGGGACTGTTAGCCACATGATGTTTTTGACATACAGAGAAAAGGATAATCAGTGGGTGAAAAGACTTGTGGACAAAACAATGATCAGCTCATTGAGAGGAGCTTCTTTGGATGGTTTTTGAAAAATGAAGTGAAAAAGAGAAGCTAAAAGGGATTTCTAGTGGGAAATTATTAACAAGCTGTGTAGGATACAGTACAAATCCTAGCAGTCAGTAGTATTTGAGTAAGCCTGTTGTTTGCATAAATGACTGCAGAAAACAATAAAATGAGAGAGACCTGAAAAATATATGGCAAGTAGGTATAGACTGAGGAGTAACAAAACAGCTCATCACAGGGCCAGCTCTATGCTGTAGAGGGTAAAGCCGCATCCCATATGGGCGCCAGTTCAAGCCTCAGCTCTCCACTTCCCATCCAGCTTTCTGTTATGGCCTGGGAAAGCAGTGGAAGATGGCCCAAGTGCTTGGTCCCTGCGCTGTGTGGGAGACCCGGAAGAAGCTCCTGGCTCCTGGCTTCAGGTCGGCCCAGTTACAGCTACTGCAGTGATTTGGGGAGTGAACCAGTGGATGGGAGACTTTCTCTCTCTCTCTCTCTCTCTGCCTCTCTGTAACTGTGCCTTTCAAAATAATTCAATCTTTAAAAAAAAAAAAAGAAACACCACGTCATCATGAGGGACATTCACTGGGTGGAATTCATCTCCCTGTCTATCTCTTTCTTTCTGCCTTTCAGAATGATGGAAAGAAGCAGGGGGGTGGGGGGAAATGAAAAACAAACCTGAACCACTACTTCACAACACACACAAAAATCAATGCCTGTACAAACTTATGCATATTAAATCTGTGTTTTATGTACTTCTTTTATATGTATATTTAAGATGAAAGTTAAATTCTTATCTAAGTTTTTCAAAAGGATACTTAACACAATTCCTTCTGATAAGATTACTAAAATAGCATACAATTAATTACTTATAGTTAATTAAGGCTTTAAAATCATAAACACTTCAAAGAGAAACAAAATGCAAGTTTCTTAAATGAGCAAAATATTCCCAATGGCCTAGAAAAATCTTCAGAATGGTCATGTTGCAACAAGATCCGTGTTTTCTAAGAGGCCACCTGCTCAGGCTGGTTACTGTCTGCTACAAGTCACAATCCCAAATGCATCAGTAATTACTTGTTGTTCAAATATGAATATAACAGGAAAGATACGATTTCAGGGAATACACAGTAAAAGAAAAAGCTCCATAAATCCTAGTACTTTCATAATGAAACAGCTCAACACCGATATCAACTACATAAATAACCTCTTTCCTAAGACTGTCAATCACCATCTGATTTTCCATTCATGAAAAATACTACAGATTTTATATATATATATGTGTATATATATATACTGAAATTATATATCAAACGGCAACTCACTAAACCTTCCTTCAATATAAAAGCATCGTAAATGAATCCTATCTTTGGAAACACGAGCTGAAAAACCAGCATAGCTTTGTTTGATACAGAAATGATGTATATATTTAAAGAGCATTTATATTGGATTACCTGAGAATTCCTTAAAAACTAAATTACCAACTTTTTCTGAGTGGAAATTCTGTTAGAACACACACTTTTTTAGTGTCCATCTTAAAAGTAGCAACTGAACATTTACATAATGGTACACGGACATCATCATGATTAATTACCATACATTGGGCTTAGAGACATAAAGTGCAAGCCCTTAAGAATATGGTCTGGCCAGTGCCGTGGCTCAATACGCTAATCCTCCGCCTTGCGGCACCAGCACACCGGTTCTACTCCCGGTTGGGGCGCTGGATTCTG